GTAGAACTCATTGTCAGTACTGTACTATTCTTTTTGCCCTTTATACATTCATACATTGGAAGAACTTTGAATACTGCACAGTACGCGAGAATGATAATTTTTGAACGAATTGTTAAAACATAACGAACCTTTCACTTCTTCCGATTTTGAGCTCATATAATGGAGAGTCCCATCGATTTCGTGGATCAGGTTTCTCATATCGCATAATTAGTTCACTAAGAATACTCTCGGTATACCTGGATAATATGCAATATACGTAGGTCGTATCTGAGGATTAGAACTGCTTGTCACTGTTTCTTTGTCTACCTTGAATCCTCACTCTTTTGTTCATTCAACCACTTGCATGTAGACTCATCAGCATGACAGTGCAGCACGGCAAACGTAGTTTTACAAAGCTTTCCAATAAGAAATAACTCATACCTGTAACCTAAACGAGAGCAAGGCTTATGCGCTCAAGCTAATTTCATATAATGACAGCATGACCATTGGTCCCAAAACAGGGAATAAAAACAATCAAAGAATTAAGCGGAACATGCAACACCTTTTATGTAGTTCAATCCATCACATATAACTATTGTATTTTGAGTCAAATTCTTCTGGATACAAGATCGCAAGAAGGACCTTTGGTCTTTCTCCTGGAATATTCTACAGTGATAATGATAATGTGACAGGTACCCGAAAAGCACTCAGAAAGAAGGAACAGAGAAATCGTTAGAGCACCCAAGTGCGGAGTACTAAAACGGCGAAGAAGAGGACCTCTCCTAGCTGTTTTCAACACATCCGGAAAGTGTGACACATGACAAGCCCTTTCTGCTCTCTATGGCCTAGACCATGAATTTAAAAAAGAAGTGTACATTCACCCCGAGGACGGCCCTTTCCACGTGTGAGGTGAAAGGGTCCGCAGCTGCAGAAGCGTGCTACTTTCTCCGCTCGAAAATGCATATAAACGGGGCTGGATAGTAGTGCTACTCTCGATTACCAAGACTCGGCGGAGAAACACGCATTCAGCGGTAGGGGACAACCCATAGGACGCAGAGAAATAGCGCGCTTGGCTATGATTAGGCGTGTGGCTTGCCGAGAGGCAGCGCGAACGGAGTCCAGTAACGGCAGCCGGGTATCGCTGCA